GTGTCCCCTGCCAGAACCATACCTGCCTGTACTGTTTCTGTACATTAATCGATCCCTTATCTCTTTTCTTTCATTTTTGGACAGATGCTAAGCATCTGCTTAAAGAAAGTGTTATTACTGTGTTTTTCTAATTGGTTTTGCCTTCAAAGGAGATGAAAATTATATCGCTGCAAGAATGTGACATTGCAAATTACACTTTTTGATGCTAACAAGGGCAGGAAAAACTTATTGACTAGGACTTTTTTCAAGTTCTTAATTATTATGGTATCAATTATTGTTCTGCTCATTCAGGAAATTAGTCTGAAAGATAAGTGCAACACAAAAAAAGCATACCAACTTCAATAATCAACGAGTCTCTGTTTTTGGACTTTTGTTTTTGAAGTGTTCTCTAACATTAACAATATTATAAGATCTGATTTGATTTTTGATGTATCAACAAACAGTTTTTACCTTTAAACAGCTCTTGATTCCTTCTTTCGAAAATTAAGAATTTTACGTTATGTTAGTAGTAATGGTTGCTGATATGGCCGGTAACCAATCAGGAGCCGAGAAAGACAATAGGCTATTGTTTGGAGAACAATGGATTCTATTGATTCTAAACCGACGGATGACTGGGATCAGTCTCACGGATTTCCATGGCGACACAAATCACGCCAGGGTCACGCCAAAAATGTCATGCAGCTTCAAAATTGATACTTACCGTGTCCTGTGGTCTTAAGCAACAGAAGTCCGTCTGGCAAGCGGCCATGATGAAGACTGAGAGACTTGGGTCTGAGGTCTGACTATAGGGAGGCTATTCCAAAGCATCATGGGATGATAACATCATCGGGAACCTATCAAAGGAAAGAAATCAGAATGAATTAAAGTACTTACAGCTGGGCTTCCCCAGTCCCCCTCTTTTAAGGAGAGTATTAAACCAAACATCACACAATGTCAAATGTCACGAACTTTTATGTCAAAACTTTTGCGCTAACATTAAGAGATATGACGTCATTGCCATTTTGATCAAGTAAAAAGACCGGTTTCTATCATCATCACACAATTTTTCAAATGAACTTTAATGTCCAAAACGTTTGTGCTAAAATTACAGAAAGCTGGTCATTGTGTCTCAAATAAGATGACACTATCAAAAAAATGGAACAAATAATTTTATCTGGCATGAATGCAATCCTTGACGAGTAACAAATAATAAGCAAAGGCAAAAATATATAGGGTAAAAGGTGAGATGAAAAAATGTACAATTGAAATACTTCAAGTGGAAATGAATTGCTATTGGCAGTTTGCAATAAAATCTAAACTCCTTGATCTTGACTGTTCCCTTGAGAAAAGTATCATTCAAGGGAATCGTGAACAAACAAAAGGCATTTAGGGGCGACCATTGAAGAATCAACATAATTAGTCAGGGATGAAACATGGAATAAATTAAAACCGAAAAGCACATGTTTAGAAGCTGAAATCATGTTAGACTGTATCTTAACCCTTGAGAATAACATCGAAGGAATTTCAAACAAACATTTTGCGCTTCAAGTAAAGATCTAACTTCATTTACCAACACTGCAAACTAATCGCTTGTAATAAAACAGCCACTTGAATAATAAGTAGTTTTAGACAGGTATAAAATCACTTACATTAACCATAGTCCTTTCCTCCAAAGCATCACACAGCTCTTGATCACTTAGATCTGTAATCGCCAAGACAAGAATGAGAAGACGTGTGTCCAACTTTGTCACGAGTAAAATGAATTCTCTCAAGACTGTTTGACTTATAAATGGGTATTCACAAAAGAATAGACAATGTCACGTGGTTAACAACCAATGAGAAGACAGGAGATAGGGGGTATGTGATATCACATGATTAAGAGTCGATGAGAAGACGGGGGATAGAGGGTATACCTCCAGTTATGTCATTAAATTGTTTAAAATTAAACAAAGAGTCTGATATTTATTTTATAACATTTATTGAATAATAACAACTCCAAAGGGAGAATTGATAACAACTTTAACTTTTTCTTTGCCTGTACAAATCTGTTCTGTCGTGGTTTGAATTCTGGGCTTCTCGTCTACTTTCAAGGTTTCTCGCAAGTTGTTGTTGTAGGACTAGTCTCGGCTGTTGGTATACCATTTTAGTCAATGATCAGACATCCTCTCTCTTTCTCTGATGCCAGTGCGGGTATCCTTCGTGTGTCAGGAGGTGACTAAATACGCGTTTCCTGTCATCACTGGTGGGATGTAAATCCAGGACCGTGTACCCAAACAGTCGTTGGATCACTTTTTGATACACGACCATCATGTCTTGCCAGCAAGTGGGAAAAGCTTGAAGCAGTAAATTCTTCATCACTAATTGATCTCTTGGATTTTTGAAGGCTACGATGAAGTGTGCGTTTCTGGAAATACTCTTAGCGTATTTCCCTGGTGGAAACATGTCTTGGCACAAGTACAACACGATGATATTTTGATGGTGAGAGTGTTTGGTGAATAAGTCCAGCAACTCTTTGTCCTCACCTCCCTCTGCCATCAGATCATCTAACACAAGTAATCCACCCTTCGGAAACCATGACTTGAGATGATCTGACTCTGGAATCCCTTTATGAAATTGCACACCAGCATCTTTCATGTCTTGGATTTTAATCCATCTTGCCATGCCCCGTAGCAATAATGAATTGTAGGGGGAGGGTCTACAAACAATTCTTCCAAATGATCCAAGAGCAACGATTCAGTAAAACAAGTCTTTCCGCAGCCAGAGGGACCCACAATCAAAATACTGGAGGGTGTCTTAAACCGAAATGCTTCTCTCATTTCTATTCTACTAGGGATCCCATGGTGCTTTTTGGTAGGAAATGGGATATTTGGGACATCTTCTAGTGTTTTTTTCTGTGCCAAGAGATTTGTAATCAATTCTCCCTTTGGAGTTATTATTATTCAATAAACATTGTAAAGTAAACATCAGACTCTTTGTTTAATTTTAAACGTGATATCGCATACCCCCTATCTCCCGTCTTCTCATTGGTTGTTAACCATGTGACATTGTCTATTCTTTTGTGAATACCCATTTATAAGTCAAACAGTCTTGAGAGAATTCATTTTACTCGTGACAAAGTTGGACACACGTCTTCTCATTCTTGTCTTGGCGATTACAGATCTAAGTGATCAAGAGCTGTGTGATGCTTTGGAGGAAAGGACTATGGTTAATGTAAGTGATTTTATACCTGTCTAAAACTACTTATTATTCAAGTGGCTGTTTTATTACAAGCGATTAGTTTGCAGTGTTGGTAAATGAAGTTAGATCTTTACTTGAAGCGCAAAATGTTTGTTTGAAATTCCTTCGATGTTATTCTCAAGGGTTAAGATACAG